ACCACAGTGCTGACGTTAAATATCCTCAGTGGTTGACGGATCATGGGTTAGAGTCCCCTTGCCGTCAGGCTAACCGTGGGAGGTTCTCGTGTTCTTCCTTTCCATGTAACGCAATGGCGGGTTAGCTCCTTTAATAAGTCCTCCACGAAGGCAAAATTTCTTCCAATACTCGATCCAGTAGTCCTCTTGTCTTCTGGATTGGGTTCAAAATTACAAGACTACGGAGTTGAACATTGGTAGTCGTAAACCCATAAAATTGGGTCGGCTGTTCAACGACGGTTATAAAATAAAATAAAAAATAATATATGCAGGGTGCCCACTGAAGTCCATTTCTCTCTTTTAACATTCAAACGGCTGCAGCAATAGCTATAAAAAGAGAGTCTAGGTTAATCAAAATAGTAACATTAAAGTTCTACAGAATGAGAATGTTTATATGTTATATGAATGTTCAGTGAAAAATTGATAATTCAACATTGCTTCCTTGAAAACGGTAAGAGATATTGTAAAAAAGTCATTTTTAAAGTTGAGTTCCTCGATTAAGTACTTGTGTGTATTAATGCGAAGAAAATAATACTTAAAATGCGTAATTTTTTTGGTTCGAAACAATTAAAAAAAGAAAAGATAGTTATTATAAAACACCTTTCTTTTAGATATTCAAACTCTTTTTAAGTTGTATACAATAAGAATATTTGAGGAACTGACTTGCTTTCTTCCTAAACTAAAAAAACTGGTAGCAAAACATTCTTTAACACATCTCTTTACTTTACCAATTTAATATTCTGAGAACAGAAATTCTCTAATAGAAATAAACATTTTTTTAAAAATAAACGTAAAAAAGTGACTTTTCGAATTCTGATTTTTCTGATCGCATTCTGATTTGATGACATTTGGAAATTTTGCACCGAGTTTCTTTAGTTTAGGGAGGACGTTGGTCAAAAAATTATAATTTCACGCAGGTTTTCTTCTGAGTACGATAAAAATTATTTTTTTATTGATATTTGGCACTACGAGGTTTCAGAGGGGCCGGAATAGCCTAGTTGGTATGGTATTGCGCCCATGTCCAAGAGGTCATGAGTTCAATCCCCGCCAGCCGAAGAATTTCCGTGTAGTATATGGTGATTGGTGCACATTAAATCGGTCGGGACACAAAGTTTTCCAAGTTCTTGTAACAAATCAATATCTCTTGAGGTACTGAATTGCTGATTGATCGTTTTCTGGTTCAGGTCAAAATCACAATGTGTGGATGAATAAATGGTTGTATAAATGGATCAGTCCTTTAAATCGGGCTCTGACGTATATGTGTGTCTGAAGTCGTATTCTTGGCCATAGATGGTGCTACTGAAAAACAAGAAACGCAACCTCTGACCTTAACCTTAAATTCGCTTGGTTTCACCAAGCAGACTTGCTGGTATTGACAATTGACACTAGAAACAACAACAATAGATGTTTCAACTATATATTTACGAAATACTTTTTTTTACAATTAAATTTATTTGTCACGAGTAAAATCAAAACAACGGTATCGCTCTTTTGATATAATTTCGCTTTGAAAGATTAGTTAAACGTTTATATATATATTTTTAAAAAGAAAATGGTACTATGTGTTTATTTTTCTATCTCTTATAGTTCGTTTATTCATGGCTGGTATTATGATTATTGATTATTTCTGGTGTTCTTATACACCGGAAAAAATGAAGAAAAAAAGGTAATATTGTTTTTTTACCATGTTTGGGACTACAAGAATATTTCATTAACCCTAACATCTGATTCGAAAGCAAGGGATTGAAACTTATTTCTAAGAAATTTTCAACTTTTTTAAAACAAAATTGATACTAGTTTCAATTTTTTCCATGTGTTTAAAAACCCTGATTTTCTTTCCTCTTTTAATGTTTTCATATTGTATTTATAGGAAGTTTTTATCTTTATAAAGAAGGAAGTCGTCGTATATCATTCATCAAATTACAAATTCAAGGTCAATAAAAGGCTACTAAAGTGAATGATTATGTTTTTATGTTACATCGCACCGAATATAACAATTACGTATGATAGCCACTCATATTTAGAAGGCTTTTGTTAACTCGAATAATTTTTTATAAGGACGAATCAATTTCTCAATTCTGAAAATTTTTGAAATTATTTTCAATTTTAAACAAAATATGGATTCTATAACGGCTTTGAGCGTTTAGATTCATTTCATTAATTTTTAATGTTGATTCAAAATAAAGTTTGAATTGAGGAAATCTGGTCATATGAGGTAGGTTTTTTTTATTGTTGTGTTAAGCTTTAGCATCGCAATATGTTTATCTAAAATTTACTTACTTTTGAGTTATTAACTAGTAAATTTCATTTTAGTTTGTAAGTTGGCAAAATTGTAATAACATTTTCCGGAGAGCATTTTTTTTCACTGTGTAAATGGAAATCCATTAAAGTAACATTTTTAAGCATCAATAGCTTGAAATGTTTACTTTCCTTATAAAATGATATACTGTATGTCACTAAAAAGGCACCAACGATTTGAAATATAAATCAATGAAAAACTGGAGGATATAGAAATGTGCAGTTTGCTGCGTTCTGTTTAGAAAACTAGACTGCATTATCATAGACTTTCAGAATAAGCTATATTTGTCAATAGATAGCGTTTCTTAATTATAAGCCTTCAAAAGAATGTTTAAAAAAACACAATTAGCCACAACAGTATAGCGTAGACAGAGAATGAAATAAACGGAAGTTCTAGCAAATATTTCATCGGAAAACATTGTTTTACAGTTTAGTGGAAACTTAATAATTTGATTCCAAAGCAGTATTAAGTAAATCAGAAATTTCTATCCCCTTCCGTTTAAATTAATGAATTTTTTATAACAGTGGCATTTTTTGGGACATTCGGGTTTAAGCCTTTTTTCTTAAATTAACTTGGAAATTGAACTACTTCAACATTTTTAAAATTTTGCGTCAGTGAACTAAGACATTAAAAAGCTCAAAATCTATTTTAAAGGTCAAAAATTTATGATGCACTTGTAAGGTAAATAACTTTGACTCAAAATGAATAATTAAAAAACATATTACAACAATTTTAATATACAGCATGTTTTAGTGAAGAATATTTTTGAATCCTTATTGAAAATAAAAGTAAAAAATGTACACATTCAGGGTCACAGTTTAGTATTTAAGCGAGGGAAAAAAACGAACGTTATCAAAAGTTGTCAATTTACAGTACAGGAAAGCGCATATAATAAACTTCAAAATGGGTTTAATTGAAACTTGAAGTTATTTCTAATAATCTTCTCTCAACTCCTCTCTGTTTCCTCTCGCAGTCTCGTTTAATACTTTTGCCTTCCTCTATTGTGATTTGCTAGATTTCAATAGTTTTTATTTTTTCCTCGTATAAATATTTATATTAATTTCGTATTGTTAATATTAATTAAATATTAATTTTGACCCCCACCCGAATGTTCATACTTTTTCCACTTTATTTTGGTGAGGATTCCAACAAACACATAATTATTGTGGTCTTTAAGGAATACCCTGTACTGTTTAGCACTAGAGAAAACTGTTTACTTTTTCCTTTCCTGGAAAATAAATGGAAAGCTTTTCCCATCATCACTATAAAAGTGTTGAGATATGTTTTATTTAACTATTTTTTACTAATTCAACTATGATTTTACTTATTGTTTTCTATGATCGATAAACAATGTTTGAAACAACTGTGATTCAATTAACTAGTATAAGCGTGAATTATCCGTTACATATAGGATATTTAAAATAATAAGTTTTTTAATAAGCATTTATCTTAATAGTTGTGTTCTTTTCTTTTGATGTTATTGCAGGGGTAAGAAATCGGGGTAAGAAATGTAACTAAACCATTTTTATATAAATTTATTTTACATTTAATATTCATTTAAACTGATTTAAATCACCACTGCTTATTTAAAGTAAAATTATGCAAGGTTTTACGAGCATACTTAAAACTAATGTAAATACAAAAGTTGAGAGCCGTGATGGCATAGTGGTTATGACACTAAGCTGACGCTGAGGAGTACCAGGGTTCAATCTCCTTCACGATGGCTTGAAGCCTACCCAGGAGTAAATCCATGGGTATCAACAAGTCCGGGTAATGAATGCTGCCGGTGCATAATGCTGACCACACTGCATCATACTGTTTATCTTGAAATTGAGAAGTCTTAATTTCTATGACCCCTTTGTGCTACAACTGCTGGTAAAGATGTGGTTTACTTTTTATATTATTAACTAAAATAAAAGCAAAAATAAGTAAATTACTATGTATATACTCATGGTAGCATAATTCATTGTATTTATCTGCAGCACCTAATTTTGGCGTATTTTTTTATTTTATTATACTTCATTTTGGTAAGTTTGTTTTCCGCTTTTCTTATTTCTATTTTAAACTCATTTTCTATTACGTTATTTTTTTCGAGATTACGACGCATTAAAAAAGAATAATTTTTATCTTAGGATAATTATTTTGTTTGAAATTTCACTCGTAAAGGAATACGTCCCGAAGAGAATCTTTACTCTTATTTCATCAAAATTTATTGTGTTTTTAATACTAATATATATATATATATATAACGTCGTTGCCGAGTGGAAGGATTAAAACAGGTCTTCGGTCGGGAAGGAGGGTACAAAAGTTATTTATTAATTATTAGGACAGAGCAGTCATGAGAGTGTAAAAGTCCACACGAAAAGTTGCGCTCCTTGGTTATATGTTAGAGAAAATTTTGCAAAGAAAAATCCGTAAAATGTCTTAATTTAGGGACAGAGNTCTTTTTTGCGGATATAATCGTGTAGGCTGATGAAAAGATTATATCTTTTATTTTCCGGTTTCTTTAAAAAAATTTCATCATTTTTTTTTAATCAGTTGTTTGCTATTTTTCTTTCATTATAATTCCCCCCCCCATTTCATATGTCTATAATTTTCCTTTGTTTTATCTTCATTTGAATATATATATATATATATATATATATATACACAACAAAGTGAGTTGCAATGAGAAAATCAAAACTATTTAATTCTACTCAGTCTGTTATTGTTTAAATTCTTGTTTCCTGATTAAGCACAACTTGGGACAAAATTCTGACAATATTTCTAAAAATATTTTAAAAAAAGTATACGTCATTAAATGCCTTTATTCCACTCAGAAAAAAAAAGTTATAAGAAAATCCCAATTAATTTCATTAGCAAAAATTTTAAACTATTAATTATTCTTACAAAATTTCAGCAATTTTAAACAAAAACTTGAAAATAGCTAAGTAAAACAGCAACAAAAACTATGAAAAAAATAAAAAATTTCTTTTTAATTATGTTCTTAGGTTTGGCAATGTAATCTTCTTTCAATGGTTTAAATAAACGCTTCTTAGAATTCATTATCGCTTTCCTTGCTCCAGGCCAAGAATGTGGTCCCTCAAGTCTATATTGATATGGCAAAGAAGGACCTAAAAATAAAGTCCAGAACAGAGCTGGGTCTCTAAAGAACATCTTCAAGTAATTTGGCTTAGCTCCAAAAAGAGAATTAATTTCATCCAGATAGTCAATATAATCGACTTGTATAGTGTGACGTTTAGATTTGGTGTACCGTTTTTCATTCATTTTCTTCTTTTTAATAATGTCCAACTCCATTTCTTCTGGTGAGGGTAAGCTTAATTTACCGTTGAATATTAATGTCGCCCAACGTAATTGGGATTCTCCACAAGGAAATCCTGCACCGACTGACTGAATCAAACCTATGATTGCTAGACTTGGATATTTTAAATGGGATGGAAACATATATTTATAGAGATGGGGTTGATTGTTTTTAACAGTAGTGAGTCTTTCGTTAAGGAAAGGAAATTTGATTTGGTAACCAGTAGCAAAAACAACTGCATCACATTCAGTAACTTGATTTTCACCTTCAAAAATAACTCCACTTTCAACAAATTCTTTGATATTTTTCTTCATTTTAACTACTCCACTGAGAAGTTTTATGGGAAGACCATCACTCATTGTAGGATGCTGGCTCAAAACTCTATGTGCTGGTTTGATGTTATATTTATCATGATCAAATCTCTGATTTAATATTCTTTCTACGAACCAGCATGATAGAGAATATGGCACATGCTGGTAAATAAAATCGAAAATTCTTCGAGTATAGAGCAAGTCAAACGGTATACCATAAGCTCCAATTCTCGGTATGACCCAAGTGCCTCGTCTTGTACTCAGGTGCACCTGAAACAATTTTACAAATAAACAAATTTAGATCTTTTTTTTCCATTTCTATTTTATTAATGATTAAAATATTAAAACTAGTATAGTCAATGTACTTAAAATAATAAAGATGCGCATGAAATACAATGACAACGGGAGATTATCATAAAAATTAAGATATACACTAGTCATTGTTACAACAATGAAGGTTTTATGCATACTAATGTTATGATATGAAACAAACAGATTAACTAATTGCTGCTTAAAAGCAAAAACACTAATGAATTACATAATTGAAGAATGTTTAATTTTTTTGACATTATTTTACATAAAAAAATATGACACTAAAATGAAAAATAAAATTTGTTCTGATTGGTTAATTACACATTTCTAATTAATCCATAAGGCAAATTCTCTCAGATTCGAAAAATATAGGATGCTGAATGAAAATGCACAAAATAATGCTGGATAGAGTTAAAGGTTGTCTAATGACTTTATCCTGTGTTAAAGGAGAATATTCCGGTTATTTATAATTCATTTATATTATTTTAATATAAATATATATTCAAGGTAAAATAATTTCGCTAGCTTATGATGCAATGGCAAACGTTCCTTTCAAGGGAAAGGAGTAAAATTTCATATTGAGGTATTGTAAGGTAGTAAATAAAAGCAGCGTTATGTGTAAAAAGGATTATACATCTCACGTGGTTACGACTATAGTACCAGAATTTTGGAATATTCAAGTAACTTTGATCTAAAAAAGAAACTACTTTTTCATCGAAACATGATCCTCTAAGTAGAAAACTTAAAATGGAATAAAATAATTTTAATATGAATGGTGGCGACACTATAGACACAGAAAAGAAAACTGTGAAAATAGAAATGGGCTTACAATTTCTCTTCCGATATTGCCAGAGCATATTCTCGGAAGCTAATTTTCTGACACATCGAATATTTATAAAATGCATTATTTTTTTTATCTCCGTTTAGCACTGCCATTTTTAATGCTAAATACATAGTACCGACATTGATCTTCATCAATCTTTTCATTTCTTCTAACATCAATGTTTTCATTTCTAAATGCTACCATGATGGTTCTTTGGTGATCATATGACAGCTCTCAACCATTAGTTCTTACCAAGTATTAACAAAATACGATCGAAAATGGAACATAACTTTTAAGGATGACCCCCATGAAGCAATAGTGCTGTTCCGCACAATGAAAATTAGATACAAAAAATGCCAATGAAAATTTTTGATTTTTAAACCTCAATTTATACACCGATCGTCAATTTTCACAGATTTTTAGTTAAAAACTGAAAACATATCAAATAGAACAACTAGAAAATTAATGAAAAATTTTAATTACTTATATACGAGTATTTTAGTAGCTTTAGTCAGAATACTTTTATTAAACTTCAATCGTGATATTTGAGCTGATTTTGTTCAATTGCTTTTCTCAGCATTGCAGTTTTTATTTTTTCGATCGTAATTAGCAAATATACAATGAGGTGACAAAAGTCATGGGATAGTAATATACAAATATGCAGCTGGCATTTGTATCACGTAAAAATATATACATATATGGGTAGTGCACAGGGGAGACATTGTGTTCAAGTTATTCATCTAAGAAGGGTTCTGAAGTAATTATGATCGCAAGACGAGAATTAACATACTTTGGGCGTGAAATGGTTGTTAAAGCTAGAAGCATGGAACTCTTCATTGCGGAAATTGTGAGAGAATTCAACATTCCTAGAGTCAAGAGTGTGCCGAGAATTTCTAGCATTACCTCCCACCATGAACAACGTAGTGGCAGACAGTCTGCTCTTAATGACCAAGACCACCAACATGTGTATAGAATTGACAACAGAGAGGCAACTTTGCGCAAGCATCAATGCAAATAGACGTACGTGTCCGTTAGGTCAGAGCGCTGAAATTTGGCTGTAATGGGATATGGCAGCAGAAGACCGCCTCGATTGATTACCTTTATTAACAGCACGGTATCACGTCCAGTGCTTCACCTGGGCTCGTGACGATATTGGGGGGGACTCTAAACGGTTGTAAAACTGTAGCTTAGTTAGATGAGTCACTATTTTTGCTGATCAGAGTTGTTAACAAGGCACTGGAAATGATTATGTTCAGCAACTTGGTGACAACTTGCAACCATTCACGGACTTCATATTCCTAGACAACAATGGAATTTTCATGGATGGCAATGTGCCATGTCACCTGGTCTTAATTGTTAATAATGTCCAACTTTTTATTAATGTCCAACACCATTTCTTCTTGTGAGGGTAAGCTTATTTTCCTACTGAATACTAATGCCACCCAACGTACTTGGCCTTCCATGCATGAAAATAGAGCACCAACTGACTGAATCAAACCTATGATTGCTAGACTTGAATGCTTCATATGAGGGGAAAATACATATTTATATAGATAAGGTTGTTTATTTTTAATGATAGGGAGTCTTTTGTTGAGGAAAGGAGATTTTATTTGGTAACCTGTTGCAAAAACAACAGCTTGACATTCAATAACTTGATTTTCACCTTCGAAAATAACTCCATTTTCAACAAATTCTTTGATATTTTTCTTCTCCTTAACTACTCCACTGAGAAGTTTTAAGGGAAGATCATCACTCAATGTAGGATGTTGGCTCACTCTATGGTCTGGTTTGATGTTATATTTATCATGGTCAAATCTCTGGTTTAGTATTCTTTCTACGAACCAGCATGATAGAGAATATGGTACCCGCTAGTAAAGTAAATCAAAAATTCTTCGAGTATAGAGCATGTCAAATGGTATGCCATAAGCTCCAAGTCTTGGTAAGACCCAAATGCCTCTTCTTGTACTCAAGTACACCTGAAACAATTTTACATTTTACCAGTAAATGAAGTTTAAATTATTTCTTCATCATTATAATCATAATCAAAATATTTACACTTATGTAGCCAATGAATAAAAATGAAGACCTACAGGATAAAAATGTTAAGAATATAATGCGAGTTTATTATAAAAATTAAAATATATTCCAATCATCGTTAAAACAATGAAATTTTTTACATGCAAACCCAGGTTGTGATACGAAACAATTTGATACTTAACAAACTGTTTAACTATGATTGTTGCTCAAAAGCAACTGCAGTAAGCAATTACCTTAATTCTACTAATGATTGCTTTTTGTTGTAATTAGTTTACATGAATAATATGCTATAAGACTAAAATTTCAATATTATAATGAAAGATGAAATTTTCCGCTACAATTTTCAATTATTTGCTGTCGGATTAATTACACGAATTCTTAATTTATAAATCAAGTTATAACGCTTCTTACAAGGAGAGATTACGTCTTGGAAAATTCACTTAGGAATTAGAACTTAACTAATTAATTATTTAAGGATTAAACTTGGTTTATTAGTAGCATACCTTGAGGGTGTTCTTCCTTTGTAATATTAAAGAACACTAGCAGTAATTTTTTCTTTTTTTTAATGAAACTAGCCAATGTTTTCAGAAAAACATCCTAAAATTAGAGGTTAAGTATTTAAAAATTAAACTTTTTAATTTAGAGTTTCGAGGTCTGGTTATTTTTTGTAATATCCATATTTTTGAACTTTGTTATATCCAACTAACGGCAGCATTATTAAACTGTATACGCATCAATCAGCTTTTCTAGTGATTTCGATTGGTTTAATTAAAAAAAGTTTGAAATATTTAGAAATTAATTTCATTGCTGAGTAATCTCGTGATCCTAATGAACAATTTCCCCATTTAAGATCTGCAAATAAATTTCTTAATTTTCTTGATATTTATAAAAATACAGGATTATGTGACACAAACAGGGATTTAATTTAGATTTATTTAAAAGTCCTTTTTTGCATTATACAACCTTTTTTTTTACTTCATTTTTTACTGCACTCTGAAAACGCGTTAAAAAAATACCTTAAAATCAGTTCTTTACAGAATACATAACTCTTTTTTCGCTTGGTCTTTACTTTTTACTGAAAAAAAAATTTTTTGCACGACTATTCTAAACTCTTCATTTGTATTGTAAAACATTTTAGAGCATGTTAACAAAAGTGGGGCAATTACTTTACACCGGAAGTGGTGTAAAAAAGGAACACCATTTATGTTCACTTTTCCTAATTTTTGAGTAAGACAGTAGCTTTGGTATTCAATAACACTAAAATTTAGAATAACAATAAGATATGATGCACATAAGAGTCAGTAATTTTTATTGTACAATTTAGAATAGGAATTGTTAGTTTAGAATTCATGCACACACTAATTCTTAAAATAAAATTAGTTTTTAAATCAAGCATACACCTAGCACACAGAGAATATTAAAACAAATCAAAATTAGGATTAGCAGAGCAAAAGTGGATAGAAATTAAATATCACAAAATTTAATGCAATTGACAGATATTTGAAAATTAAAATATGATTATAATAAAAATTGCACAACTAAAAATATGCATACCTTTTGCGAAATTTTTTCTTTAGATGTATAACAGTGCGCAAAACAGCAAACTCAAGCTATTTTGTACTCGATTGTAGACAATCTACTAGCCATATCATGGGTTAGAGTCCCTTTGCGGTCAGGCTAACCGTGGGAGGTTCTTGTGATCTTCTTCTCCATGTAACGCAAATGCGGGTTAGTTCCATCAAAAAGTCCTCCAGAGAGGCAAAATGTCTTCGAGTACTTGATCGAAGAGTTCCCTTGTCTTCTGTATTGGGTTCAAAATTTTAAGGCTACGGAGTTGAACATTAGTAGTCGTAAACCAAAATATTGGGTCGGCAGTTCAAAGACGGTTATAAAATAAAAAGTCTACTAGCTATAGCCATATTCTGCCCAAATTAGCCTTTTCGGAAGAGAAAATAATTCACTACCCGTGATTTTGAGATAATCATGCTCAATTATTCCATATTATAGATCTACACTTTTTAAAGTGTATAGAAATGCTAAATTTGATGTTAACTTGAAATAAAAAGTTCCTTTACAATTTTTGTTATTGTTCAGCATCAGATTCGGAAAACAATTACACTCCTGTTGTTTTTACAGTATTATTTTTGAGACTAAGTGGCTAAGCCATTATATAAAAAATATCGGAATATTTTAAGGAATTTTGTCATAACTATAATAAATCATAATGACATACTTGCTTTGCTACGGAACATATTTCAACAGCAGCATCCATTCCAGAATTGCCAGTACCTACTATCACAACAACTTGATCATTAAATGATTGGACGTTTTTTAAACTATGCGTATGCATTATCTTGCCTTTAAATATATCCATACCAGGAAATGAAGGCATATTTGGATACACGTGATGACCGATGCAAACCATAACACCATCATATATATCCTTACTGATTTGTCCATCTTTTGTATCTTTTACTGTAACTGTTAGGCACCCAGTAGCATCGTAATCATCAGCCATGTTGATCTAAAAGGAAATTAAAATATTCATGAAACAGATGCTTTCACCCGGCGCTTGGATTGGATTACTTTATAAAGTATATAAAAAATGGATTAACAGGATTTTTCAAACAGGGATAAAGGGAAAGCAAAAATGGTTTAATATTATTCTTTCAAAAAAGAAAAGAATTTTTATAACTTTTGAATGAAGTGAATGCAGAACAAGATTCAATGCAAATATACTGTGAAAACTTAGAGGCAAAACTGTACGACATTACAAATTGAAGATAATAAAATGAAATCAAACTATGCTAGAAGAGCCGTGGTGGCTCAAGGGACAGAGAGCTCACCTCCCAACGAGGGGATCCGGGCTCGAATCCGAGCGATGGCTGGGATTCAAATTCCGCCCTCGGCTCGCACCCACCACAGTGCTGACGTAAAATATCCTCAGCGGTAGGCGGATCATGGGTTAGAGTCCTCTTGCCGTGTGGCTAGCCGTTTGAGGAGGTTTTCGTCGTTTCCCTCACCATGTAACACAAATGCGTATAACTTCCATCAAAAAGTCGTCCACGAAGGCAAATTTCTCTCAAAACTTGATCCAAGTCCTCTGGATTGGGTTCAAAATTATAGGCTACCGAGTTGAACATTGGTAATCGTAAACCCAAAATTGGACCGGCTGTTCAACGACGGTTATAGAGAACTATGCTAGAGTCTATGTCAGACTTTGACAATCTATTTAAATAGTTTTACTGGGGGAAGCATCGTTAATTCACCAAATATTTGTGCCGCTTATTTGCTAGTTCTTCGTCTACCTATTAGTCTAAAGAGAGAAAAGAGAATAGGCATAATCTTCTCTCTCAATATATATTTTCGGAACTCATGTCAAAAATGAAGTTAAAAAATATAGACAATAAGAATTTCAAATTAATGCTTAAGCTAGCAAGAGAACAATAATGCTATCATTATTAAGAAAGTAGGATTAAAAGCATCAAAACTTGAAGACATTCCTCACATTCGTTTTTTTCTCTATGTTTTATCGAGCAATCAAGCAGGTTTTGATGTTTACAGTTCCGCTTGCCTCAATGGTAAGTTCGTCAGATCTCGATAGTGGTTTTTTGTGTCTTTTTTTCTGAACTTAAATTATAATCTATGTTTCTTAATGTATATTCAGCTTTGATGAGGATTCCGAAAATATATAAAGGCAGTGATTATGGAACACCATATATATCACACGCCGATTTTACATTCCCTATTAGATTATACTTGTTCTGGATATTGTTTAAAAAATAACCGCTAAACTATAAGCGAATCCAAATCAGGATCACGATTTGAAGCAAAGAAATTGTAACACGAGTAATTCATTTCGAAAAATCCTCAGTATTACCTCTCGTCTTGCAAGTACATAATAATTTTTCAGGTTAAAATTAAGATAATTTAAAACGATCATGAATAAGGCTTTCATAAAAGATGCTGTTATTTTCTATTTAAAGTTTAAAAAAATAAATCTGCAGAACTGCATCTTTAGAACTGCAAATTTTAAAAACATATAGAGAGATAAAGAAAACAGTTTTGCTCATAATTTAGCAAAAGTAACAGCTAAACTATAAGCAAATCCAAATGGCGATACTGATTTTAAAATAATTTTTTTAATTTTTTGCTAGTATTTAATCAATTCCAAAAATTGAGCAATTTTCTAATGCAAAATTGATCTTCAGTATTGCCTCTCGTCTTGCAAATACTGAATGATTTTTCGGGTCAAAATTGAAATAATTTAAATAATTAAGACAATTGAGATAGTCATGAATAAGGTTTTCAAAAAAGATGCTGTTATTAATATTCATATATCTATTCAAAGTTTAAAGAAATAAGCTGTTTCAGAGCAGCGAATTTTTTTAAATGAATTTTTTTCCCCTATAAAATTGTTTTTGAATCATTACTCATAATATTAACATTACTTTAGCCTTATTTATTCATACAAAAAGATTATGAATATGTGTTTAATTCTTAGTCAAGTTAATACTTTTTATATCTCTGTTATTCAGAAAAGAATATGGCTTTCAACGTGTTTTGCATATATTAATTAGTAAAAACGTTGAGACAAATTTTTTCTTTAAGTTATATTCTTGATGTTAAATAATACATAAAATAAAATAACATTACCCATCACATGACTGTTACATCACATCATATCACACATTACATAAAATATCTAAGAAGTTTTATAGTACAAAATCATCCAAAACTTATCAAGAAGAAAAATTGCGTTCTGATAAAATTTACAAGGGGAAGTAGTTTAATGTAGAGTTTTTGTAGGGATATATAGTCGTAATTATTTCGCTCAGTGAAAGATATGAAATTATATAAATAATAATTATTATTTAGTATACCTCTATCACCTCTTTGTTGAAATTTACGTATTTGTTAACTCCGAATTTTGTTGCATACTGTACCAAGTAGTGGTGAACTTCTTTGTTATGCATATAATTTGGAGCATCATCAGCTGGTGGAAAATCACTAATAGCACTCATTTCTTTACTCGTATTAATAATTGTTGTTTTCATAACAGAAGCCAAGCCATCGATATCGTCATCATGATATCTCCAAAGACCACCGATATGATTTGTTCTTTCAAAACATATTGGCTCTAGTCCATCCTCGAGAAGAGTTTTTACGGCACATATTCCAGATGGACCTGCTCCTATAACTGCAACTCTCCTTCGAGACATCTTTAAAAAAGTTGCTTAAATTTAGTACCTAAAATTTTAGATAAGAACACAAAATTACTACTTATTAAGTTTTACCAACTGATACAAGAAAAAGTTCTGATTGATTTGATATTCTAAACATTTTTATGCTGACTAAAAATTAATTTTAAACTACATATTTTAAAAATTTTTATTATATTTTTAAAGTACTTTTGATTACAGAGTGATATTAAATCAGCAGTTACAAAATTTCAGGAGAGATATAAATACTCCTTAAAAGACCTTTACGCTCCCCATCTTAGATTTTAGATTAAGCATTTGAGTTTTCTTGATATTTCTTGTACTTAAACTTGTGATGTTTTAGTATTATTAGAAGGCACAATACCATTCAATAAAGGTAGAAAATAGAGGAATCGCTTTATTGAATTAGGAGGAATAACGCTTGATAATTTTTAGAACTTCTATGAATTTTTCCTCAAATTTTTGTATAATGAAATAATGAGAGTTGTGGTTTTGAGTAAGTAATTTAAAATTGCATTTTTCTCAGTTTCTGTTTTTTAATAAATCCTTATTGCAATTCAACCTTCTGCCTACGGCTGGAACAACTTGTGGACCACATGATATGATATAGCATGGTACACCGTAAGCAAAGGGCTGAACTAATGAAAACCAATTCGGATGACCCTTAAAAATTCTTTTAACGTTAACTGCATAAAAACAAAGATACTTATTAGAAACCTAAAAACGGGCAACTGTATAATATTTACCTACCTATCAAAAATTGCAGATTGAGGAATTGTATTGGCATAATGTTGGCAGAAAAAATTAATAGAAAATGTAAAATACCAAAGGCTTTGTATTTCAAATTGTGATTGGGTGGCGACCTTGTATTTTACACTTATCGAAAGTTACTACCAAATAGGGTAAATATCCATCATCAGTTTATTTGTGAAAATTAAGTTTGAAGATTAAAAGCGCATTTAGAATTATCCCTCTCGGTCTCTATCCCTTCGGCTGTTGAGTTTGGTCGAGAGAGGAAGGGCCTTTTAACTATAGGAAATCGCGTATTAACGCATGACTAGAAACGTTTTCCTTGTTGTAGTTCATTTACATCGTACTAGAGCTGCACAATGGGCTATTGGCGACAGTCTGGGAAACATCCCTGAGGATACTCCATCACAATTTTGATCCTCTGCTGAGAGGATGGCACCACCACTTCGGTAGCCCGACGATCTGCACGCAAAGTCGAGCACTTTACGGTAGAACAGTTTAACAAGGACCAATACCGCACATCTTCGGTCCTTACGTAGACTAATCCAAGTGATCACCCACCCGCACACTGACCGCAGCCAGTGATGCTTGACTTCAGTGATATGCTGGGAACCATGTCTTAACAATCAGTCCACTGCGGGACAAACACTTTCTTGACTGGGTTGGTTGGTTTAGGTGCATTGACTCACTCAAACACCAGACCTCATTTGTCAAGACTTCAGCTTCAGGTGGTACGTCAAGCCACTGGTGTATGAAACCCCCATTAACAGTGCAGAAGACTATTTTACACGTTTCGTTGTAACCCGACGAGGCAATCCGCGACAGACCAGTTTTTTTTCTTCTTCGGAACATTTTATCTTCTAAGCAACGGGGTCTGCATGATGTCACCGAAGTCGCAATTTTGAATCCATTTTAAAAAAACAATAGTTTTCTCTTTTTGCTCTTATTTATTATTTTTTGCTGCACTATGAATAGTACACATATTTTCTCCCGCTACTCAGGTCCTTCCGTTCTTATGTACCGTTTCTAAGTCGCAAGGAAAGCTATTTTACCGTGCAATTGAAAAATCAACGTAACCGACACAAAATTCAAAATCGAGTTTTTTATTTATTTGGCGTCTTTATATGGTAAGCCATGTATTGCAAAAAATAAACTTTGTTTTCTCATTTTTTTGAAACATAGAGAGTCGAAATTCATCGAAAGAAAAAAGGTATATTTATTCAGAGAAAGTACGTTTTGCAGCGGATTTCTTAACTTAAGATATCGTCTGCACTAATTAATTAGCATATTTGAGGTCACTTCCTTGAAGAATGAATCCTAGGACGGGAAGATCCAATCATTAGATCAAAAGTTAGTCAGTGTGGTCCATTTTTTTAGGTGCACTGTACATTTCCCGACATATTTGAGAATTTCCAAACTTCTTACACTAGAATAACTTTTTATATATATATATAT